TTTAAAATGTTTACAGAAAAAAAAAGTTACAAAGATTAACATAGTGGAGAGCGGAAGGCACTTCTCAGGGCACTGCCAAATACCATTTGCAGTTACATGACTCTTCTGAAGTCACAGAAAATATAAAGTTTTCCCACTTAAAAGTATTACTTGGTTTTATTTGAAGACAGACTAGACACCTGCAATTGGGATTAGAGTATTTTAAATAAAGATGTGCACGCGCGCGTGTGTGGGTACGTGCACGTGCACACGTGTTCTGCGGTAGGGACATTCATTTATCTGTGTCATCCTATTACAATCTAGAATTCATATAAGGGATCACATTAACACTTTATTAGTTCAGTCTAGTGTCTGAACTAGTTAAAGCCATGACATGCTATAATTGCATGATATAGAGTATATTCATTCTGCCTCTCTGGGTCTCAGTTTTTTCATTTGAAAAAAAAAAGAGAGATGGACAATCCCCAAGGCTCCTTCAGGCAGTCTGTGTGACTCAGTCTACTCTCAACATGGCTGTTTCCATGGAATATAAGGGAAGAACTTCACAATGCATCAATTGAAGCTGTATTTCTAAAACAAACTAGTTTCAGAACTTTACTTCTACCAGTCAATTTCCCAGTGAATGTGTTGACTACAGAATGCTCCTAATGTAGAAACATATCCTGTTGGGCCGGCCCGGTGGCTCACTCGGGAGAGTGCGGTGCTGATAACACCAAGGCCCCGGGTTCGGATCCCATATAGGGATGGCTGGTTCGCTCACTGGCTGGGCGTGGTGCTGACAACACCAAAGTCAAGGGTTAAGATCCCCTTACCGGTCATCTTTAAAAAAAAAAAAAAAAAAGAAACATATCCTGTTGCCTTATTTAGTATCAATGAAGTTACCACTGTCAAAGCCATGAATTGATAGTGAATATTCCTTTTTAATATCCATAGATATGACTTCATTTCCTGGCTTACTGGAGAATTGCTTGAAGGACCTATACAGATTTTTAAATAGGTAAACATGTTTATTTAGAACCGATGGGTAAATTCCTTTTCTCTTTCCAAGTGGTTAGTGGGGGAGGACTATGGGCTTTAAAAGATCATGCAGAGTGTGGTACGTGAAAATGTACCTCTCTTCCTGCCACTACTAGACCCTTGTCTGAACCAGAAGATTCAGTACCTTTCTAACTGTACCAACTTGAAAAAAAGTAAGTTTTCCAGACGATGACAAAAAAAAGAAACATCCAAAGTCAACTTCTGAGATGTGAGGAATGCATTTGTAGGAGAAAAAAGTACTTTATCGCAGTTTTTTAGGCTGGTAGAAATAGCAGCCATTGAGCACAAGCTTGCTGAAGGAGCCAGCCCAGCCCCATTCCCAAGGTCTTACACTTCAAACAAAAAGCAGAGGGTATTTTCACACATGTTATCTTTCCCTATGCAAACAGTCTTTTCATGCAGATTGCACAATGAAAGGCAAGGTGACTGCCAGAGCATCTGGCTGAGAAAAAAGCACAGGAAGAACACCAGGACCTGGATGTAAATTAAGTAAGCATTCACAATGGATCCATTCAACCTAATGGCAAGTTAAAGTTGAGAGGCTCTACAAATCGAAGTAACACAAGCCTCACCTGGTTGTATACAGAATGTGCACAGCACCCTACTAGAAACATCCAAGTTGCCAATACTTCAAACTCATTCCTCTTTCTCCCAACCCTTGCTGTCGTTCCTACAACCCCTGTTTTGTTATGGCATCTCTTATTCTACCCAGGGCCCAAGAATGTCTGTTGTTTCATCTTGGGAAGCTAGAGAGCAGAAGTATCAGAAACTACATATTTGGGAACAAGGTGGTAAATGGGGGGGTGGGGGTACACTGAACTAGGAATCAAACTCTCCCACCAGCTGAGGGGCTTCAAGGACACAGATAAATTGTTCATCCAATTAAACAACAGTAAAAACAAAAACCCCAAAGCCTGCCTATTCTGTTCTCCTCAAACGATTGGTGAGGATTAAGTGAGGGAATTCATGTGAACAGAGGTAAAGTTTTGTTAGTAGCAATAGCAGCAATATTATTTGTAAGCATGATAAGTACAAAAGGCAGGGAAAAGCAAACTGTGCGCTGTTATGGAACCAAATTAGGAAAGGCCTGAAAAGAAACTGAAGATTTTTAAGGATAGTAAGTGCTTTTCTCTCAACCCATGGCTGGCCAGTTAGCTCACTTGGGTAGAGCGAGGTGCTGATAACACCAAGGTCAAGGGTTTGGATTCCCTTGCCAGCCAGCTGCCAAAACCAAAACCAAAACAAACAAACAAACAAACAAAAAATCAAAAAACCCCAAATAAAACCAGTATGAGGGCAATAAGACCAATGACAGGGGCCAAGGTGTGAAGTAGATTCTTCCCAGGAAGACCTACACATGCGATGAGAAGGCCTGGAAATGGTAGAAGAGTAGCAACAATGTTTCTTTGCCTGAAAATCGAAAGGTGGCACTTTACTAATTTTTTTCTAATTGTAATTGTTCAGAGGAGAAAATTAAAAAAATACAAAATAATGGGATTTAAAAAAACAAATGAATCGGGCCGGCCTGGTGGCGCACTGGAGAGTGTGCTGCTTGGGAGCGTGGCGGCACTCCCGCCGAGGGTTCGGGTCCCATGTGGAAACCGGTTCCCGCTCACTGGCTGAGCGCGGTGTGGGCGCAACACCGAGGGTTGCGATCCCGTTGCCGGTCAGTAAAAAAGATAAAAAAGGGAAAAAAACCAAAAAAAACCCCACAAATGAATCTAAATTACTTATGGCCATTTCTTTTCCTTTCTTTCTTTCTTTCTTTTTTTTTTTTTTTGGTGGCTGGCTGCTATAGGGGACCCTGAACCTTGTGTTTATCAGCACCACGCTCTGATCAACTGAACTAACCAGTCAATCCCTACGGCCATTAATTTCATTGTATGAAAGTTACTCATGTCTGTACACTGGAGTAGAAGTATTAATGCAACAACATGTAAAAAATCTAGATACTGATAGTCTATTTACATTTTAGAAGGTTTGGGTATGAGGTAAATAAAATGCAATTTATTTATCCACATCTATTTTACATTTATAGCTAATTTGCCATAATTTTGGAAAAATAATCCAAACAGTGTATCCCACTCTGTATAAGTGGGCTTCTTATCTGTGTATTCAATTAATTTGCCCAATTAACTGTTAAACAAATACTCAAACTGCTTTACACTTGATCTTAGCCAAAAGGCTGAGAAGCGATCATACTGCTTTAAACGTCCAACTATTCACAGTATTCTGCCCAGGAAGGCTTCTATAGTTTCATCCTAGCCTGTGGTCAAAGACTTCAGGTCTAACCCAGGTAGCTCTACAGCTAGTTCCATTTTGTAAATCTCAGCCATTGTTAATGGGATTAGAATAGATTGAGAAACCCCATATAAGAAAAACAAGTTCTCAGCATTTAAAAAAAAAAAAAAAAAAAAAGCAAAACATAAGAACACTGTGAATAATGTGGTACTGCAAATATCTTTTACTCCTTTAATGCTGATGGAATTACAATTAGAAACAACTCTTGAAGAAAAACCATCTGATAATATGCATCAAAAGCCACAAAAATGGTCATATCCTTTAGTCTGGTGACATCCTCCTGAGAATTTATCCTAAGGAAAAAAAACTTCAAAGAAAAGAGCTAAAGGCATAAAGATGTTCATTGTAGCATTGCCTACCTCAAAAAATAAAATGTCTTTCAGTGAAGTGATCAGGCATTTGGGGAGAAGAGGGTGCTTCCGGGACACTGATTATGGTGTGGAAAAGGCAGGACAGAGAAAAAGCAATGGGGCAGGATAAGAAAAAGAAGGGATGAGGGTGGTAGAGTGTGTTGAACCAGTGGCGGACATTAGCAGAGAGCACAAACCTCAGACCTTCTTATAAGACTACAGGAAGCTGCCATAAAGACCTTGGAACAGTAGGGGAATGTTAATGCTGCAAAGGAAATTAAAAAAAAAAAATGATAGTGTTGGTGTGAGCAGGACTGCAGCCATGTTGGGACCTAAAGCTGTCTGGGACGCGGAGGGGCGGAAGATTTTCATAAGGACAGTTTTTTTCTCTCCACTCTTTCTTCCCATCCCCTGACTTTCTTATCTTGCTGCCTAAGTAGGAAAACAAGGCTGAGAAGCTGCTAATCAAAGCTAACAGTTCTTTCTTTCAGCCTTGTAGAGTTTTCTGAAATGATCAAGGCCAAATGACCGAAGCTGACCTTGGGCACCAGCCAAGTACACCGGCGCAAATCAAAATCTTGCAGGGTCCTGAGATAACAGCGAAGATGAGAACAGAAACCAGACGAGGCCTTGGCGAGACCTTGTATCTGACCCATAGAAACAGACCCCTCGTAACTCACATCTCCTGCTCCCCTGCTTTTCACCTGCCACATTCCATTCCCTCAACCTCTCCTTTAAAAACCCCTCAGTAAAGGTAAATCTTTGAGATGGGATAGCCTACCATCTCCTTCAGCTGAATACATCTGCTTTTCTAACACCAACCATTTGACTTCTGAGTTTTTTTCTTTCCTTCTCAAGGGGGCGGACAGCTGGACCTGAGTCCGGTAACAATTGCTGTGTTAACTATTTACCAATAGCCATTGAAAAGGAGGCCATAACGATAGAGTTGGGAAAAAACTAAAACTAAAGACTCACCTACAAAGGTCATTTTCTTATTTACAAAGGATTTCTGTGGCTGGAGATTTATTTCCTCCCTCACCGAAATACTGCAGACTCCCTTCCCCCCAAGCACCTCAGTAACCAGGGGTCCCTCCTGCAGATGGAAATTTCTTTTCCTTCCTCTGTGCTGTCTTTTCTCCCAAAACCCAGAGTACAAGAAGCCGCTTCATACAGAGCTTTCAAATATGCCAAATCCCATACGTACTGGCTACAAAAGACCTAAGTGAGAAACTGAATTTCTGTGGGTTTCTTTTTATTAATTTCTAAAATACAGAAGAATAAATATATTAATTAAGAAGGCAAATAACTTACAAATTGGAAGCAGCTCCTGACACTCGGTTCAATGTTACTGCCTCCAAAAGATGCAACTTCACCCAACTGTCTTGGAATTTGGATAGAATCATGCAGAAGAAGGCCCAGCCTACGCTGGTCACAAAATCCCGTTGAACTTGCCACTTGTTTGAAAAGGTCTACAAAAGGAAGAAAAAAATTGCAACAATCAAAACACAGCACCAAGTAGATGCTAGCAGAACCTAATGTCCAACTCAATTCCAGTACCAATTCTTAAGAGTAGCCAATATTCTCAGAGAGGGGTTACTTCTGACTTATGCTAATCTGGACATTTATTTTTTTTATGGACCAAGTTAATCCTTGCTGTGTATATGTGAAGTTTGACAACTTTTACATAAACTACAGCCTTGCAGGAAATTCAAGTTTACATGTAGTCACGACAACTGAATTCTTCCTAAGCCAGAACACAATCCCTTGGGAAATATTATATGAGGGTACTTCAAAAAGTTCATGAAAAAACAGAATTAAAAGATAATATGAATCTTTCCATGAACTTTTTAAAGTATCTTCATATATATAGGATGTAGCCACTATCATAAAATAAATGCTTCATCTTAGGATGAAAAAAATTCAGTAAAAACAGTAAAAATTGTTTTTACTGCTGTTTTCATCTTTGGATGAAAAAATATTAAAAATTAACAGCCATATAACTGGCCCAAAGCACCATCCCCCTTGGACATCAGAGGTTCAAAAATGTACCAAAATTGGGATTTCTTTATGGAATCATAAACTCACTGAGATTCTAGTCCATCATGTATGTATTTATATGTGTAAATAGCTCATATCAGGTACACGGTCATTGATTTAATATGTGTCTGACTTTTTGCCTGGAGAGTGATATCCCCTTGAGGGTAGGAACCACATCTTGGTCAACCCTGTGCCAAAAGCATCTAGAGTAGAACAGCAGTACCTTGTGGATAGCAGGTGCCCAATATGTGTGGCTGACAGAGTAAACGAACACACCAAACACTTGCAACATATGTTTGACTCTCAGAAATAGAATCACTTTAATCATACTTATATTCACCCAGAAGTTGCCCCCAAAAAAAGTAAATCCAAGAAAGCTTTTCATGCCCATGAGCACACATTAAACTCTAAGAAATTAAATATTTTAACAAGATATCTAAGATGGAAATAATAAAATTGAGATCACATGCACAGCCTTTTACCACCCCTCGAATACACACACATTGATTTTTTTCAAAGTTATGAATTTTTTTCATTTATCTCACTTCATAGTTAATATTTTTGTTTCACCAACCTCAAAACATATTCCCTCTTAGTAGTTATTTGAAACACAGGCTCCAAAGCTCCCTTGATGGTTCAATTTAGTATTTACAATGTACTGGTATTATACCATTGATAAAGTTAGATTAAAAATTAACCTATAATAAGTAATTACAATATTTAAAGCAGGAAAGCCCACAGAAATATTGTTTTCTAAAAAATCCATTTTTTTTTCCTTTTTGTCTTTTTTCGTGTCCGGCAACGGATCGCAACCCTCAGTGTCGCGCCCGTACCAGACCGGGACCGGCAACGGGATCGCAACCCTCGGTGCTGCGCCCGCACCTCGCTCAGCCAGTGAGCGGGAACCGGTCTGTATGTGGGATCCGAACCCTCAGCGGGAGCGCCACCGCGCTCTCAAGCGGCGCACTGTAGCAGTGCGCCACCGGGCCGGCCCCTAAAACATCCATTTTTAAATGATTAACAAAAGCTGTTTAGTTGTTTTTCTTTGGTTCTTAGCATGAAAAAATACAAAACTACATAAAAATGAGAGTTACAATGGCTTGTGTATTTTGTGGCTTACTCCTAGAGGACAAATGAGCAGTGGGACACAGAATGGCTTTGCAGGAATTCAATCTCCTTTGTCTCCTGCCTGTCCTTAAGCTCAGTACATCTCATCCATGTGTGGCTAGGCCTTAGAGGAAAAAAGAAAAGACAAGATAGGCTGGCTTTGTTTAATATTTCTGCTGAAAAGACTTCTTACAAGCATTTAAAGGGGAAAAACACAGTCCTTCCCAGGTGGAAGGAACAGTCATTTGGTCATCTAAACCCTCACTTCTTTAGCATTTGCTTTTAATTTGGATTTACCGTTTTTAAGTAGAAGAACTCAATGGCTATTAAAAAGAAAATTCTATAGGGTGGTATTTACCCTTTAAGAAACAGCAAGCTATCTGTCTCTCAAATAACAAAATGTTAGTCATGTCATGGAATTGGATGTGTCAGTACAACTTGCAGTAAGATGATTATAAAATAAACAATGTTTCTTGAACAGGAATGCCAGATAGTATTCTTTAAATAAGAATCCAAAGACTAGGCAAGTGGAGGGATTAAACCTTCACATTTATTTTCCCGACGTTTAGAAAGGGGTTAGGAAATCAGACTTTATCCCCTCAGAACATGTGTTTTATTCAGACGCAGTCAATGTAATGTAAAATAATACTTGGACTGGAGAAGTTAATCCTCTTTCTCTATTTAAATACCTGCAATTTAATGTTTGACAGGGAATGGCACAGACCCCATTTTATGAAACTCTAAAAGCAGTTCTACATCTTACATGAGGCACCTGCTATCAAGTAAGAACAGTATGTCATTTCCCATCGAGAACGGGGGTAATTAGCCAACATTAATAAAAGAATACAGAGTTAATATACATGACTTACATCTGTACTTGTCTTCCAAATGTGCTTTACACAGAGAAATGATGCCAGTTTTAAAAGACAGGACACGGATCCTCCCCGTTCGTCCCCTATTATGAAGAATCAAACCGGAAAACAATTACTGACAGTTTACTAGAGGGTGAACACTTCTATTTAAGAAAAAGAAAAAAAAAAAAAAAAAAAAAGCCCAGGATATAGAAACTCTATTGAGCATTGTTTTATTAAGATCGTTAAGAACTTTTCCAAGTTCATTATCTATTTGGCTGATGACCTGGAATGCAATGGAAATTTGACCACCTCGACCAATGAGTATTTACCAAGTTTTCAATTCTTAAAAGCTGTTACTTGAATTATAAGTGTAGCTCTACATAAAACAGAAAAAAATCTCCTTCTATTCACCTATGGAGAGCCGCCTTGGCTTAAGCTGGTAAGTGGAAGAATTACTACTATGCACTGGCTATTTTGGTTATTGAAGCAAGTTACCTACTTTGATTACTGAAGCCTAAAATATTACCAGCAACTAACTTCTCTGTTTTCTTCAACACTTTCTCAGATTTTAATCGGATTGCCTGATTGAGAGGAAAACTAATCACTTCAGGCCACATGACACACAATATAAAATATGAACGTGTATCTCCATAAGAAAACTATGCCACACTCTATTAGAAAGCATTCAAATATATGCTCTAAAAGATAAATTTATAAGTAACTATTGCCATATCAATGTTTTAATATATATATATATGCTTTCACTTTACACATAGAAAGCTGAAATAAAGCATTTAGCATAACAAATTTATTAACAAGCTTATTTTATTTATGGGAAAAAAATGAAAACAAGAACGAAAAGTTTTCCATTTTATAGAAAATATCTTTCAATAACTTTTCAGCTTCTTATTTTATTAAGGAAAGCAACTGGAGCTTAGACAACCACAAAAGATAGGTCCCAACTATGGTTATTTTTGGTGGGCAATATGCTCAACATTTCTTTATTTTAAAGTTTAGTTGTACATATTTGTGGATACAGTGTTTTGTTTTAATACATGTAATATATTGTACAATAATTCACTTAGGGTAGGTAGCATATCCATCACCTGAACATTTATCTTTTCTTTGTGGTGATTACAGTCAAGATCCTCTTTTCTAAATATACAATATAATATTATTAGCTCTAGTCAGCCTAGACCACCATAACTTATTCTTCCTTCCTACCTGTAACATTATGCCTGAACGTTCAACTAGTACAAGTTATTAAATCCCTCAGTCAAAGAGAAATCCTAGGGCCGGCCTGTGGCTCACTCAGTAGAGTGCGGTGCTGATAGCACCAAGGCCGCGGGTTCGGATCCTATATAGGGATGGCCGGTTTGCTCACTGGCTGAGCGTGGTGCTGACAACACCAAGCCAAGGGTTGAGATCCTCTTACCGGTCATCTTTAAAAAAAAAACAAAAAATAAAACAAAACAAAAAAAAACAAAGAGAAACCCTAGACCTTAATGCATTAACAAAATTCCTACCATTGGGAGATTTTCTTATCTGTTTCCTTCTTATGAAAAGGCAAATCAAAGTTTAACAAATAAACTTTATACAGTAACTCAGGTCTTCCCAGAGTTAAAATTGCCCCCAAATAAATTTCAAACAGGTAGAATGGAATTTATATATTCGGAATACATTCACATGTTACCTGCAAAGAAAAGTGCCGAAATACATTTGAGGGTAGGTCTGAATACAAAGCCTTATCAAAACAAATATAAATGTAATCCATACTTAAAACCCAACATAGTAAATAATTATCATGAATTCAATAGCCAGGTGGTCCTGAACTTTAAAAAGCAATACCTTATCAAAATGATAAAGACAAATTTATAAAAATTTTAGGAAAGGAGGTGGTAGAGATCTCCAATAAAGGCAAAAGTCAAAGTAGTTGATATGCAACTTTTTTCAGAAAACGTTTCCAGATTTTCAAATGGGAATATGCTCTTGTTGAAGTGTGAAATGAAGCATGTAATAATTGTGAGGTCTAAGAGGAATTCAGTCAAAATCAAGACCAATTCCTTCTGCTCCCTTCCCTTCCTCAATTGTCTTCATTAAGCTCCAGACAAAAATTAGAACTGGGGATATTGCCTGTGTGCAAGCCAAAAGAAATAAACGATTCCTCTCTAAGATAGACTGATGAATGCAGGTGCCAAATTGAAACTCTGTAAAACCTTATTAAAATACAAAACCAAAATCTTCCTCAGTTTGAAGAGCTCATTTGCCGTAGTAAGGCTTGTTTTCATTTTGTTTGGCAAAATACTCCTACGTATCAGCTAAGACAATTCTGATCTGGTGACAGGTGTGCCAGCATCTACAGAAGAACATCCATTCCTGCCAGTGAGAGGGAGCCACCCCGAAGTAGACGGAGGAATTCCAAAATACGTAGGTGAGAAAGGGAAAGAACCAATGGCTGCACATTGACCCATTCTACTTTTTGAAAAATGAGTATCTCAGGCTTTTGTTTGTTTTCTAATCTGAGAGCAATCTCCATTCTAGCTCTTACCTCCTAGCTTATCAAAATATTTTTCAAGTCATGTAAATGCAGAAATGATTTATCACAGGGATAGCTTCTGGGGCCCTGTTTTAATGCTAATTACACTGTCACCATTCTATAAGCTAAGCCCTCTGTGACAGAGCCTGAAAAAGAACTTGCCATACGTACGTATCATAAACATTCAGCAGCCAGTTGAGACACATATCCACGCAGAGAGGGACGTTGACCAAATTGTTGTGCTCTTGCTCCAGGCGATCATAAACAGTGGTCAAACAATTAATGATCTGCAGGATATCCATGGGCTGGTCATTTTGCTTGAGGTTGTGCTGGTCCAAGGCATCACACGCAGCTGACAGGCTCAAGAGATCCACTGCAAAAAGCACATAAAATCACAAATGATCCAAAGGGTTAAATCCTTCACTATCCTTTCTTTTCCTTTGAGAATCCTGGTAGGGTTGTCTCATACCTTCTAGTAAACACCAAACCTGTCTTCATCGCTCAGCTCAGAGCTGATGAGTTTGACCAGTATTCAGGATCCGAGACTGTTCTGGAATCTAGCTGGCACTGGGTGAAACTGTGAGCCAAGAGCCCGTTCCCATCCCCAAAGTATTGGGTAATATTTGAGGGTTAAGGGATCTATCCTGTTCTATGTGAATTTCATTTCCACCTGAATAAGAAAAATGTTTTAGGAGAAATTTTGAAAGCACTCCTGACAATACTTTGTTGTATTAGTATTACAGAAGGCCAGTTAGCTTAATCTGTATGGTTAGGATTGTGTAAACTCCATTTCCAGCTATGCGTTTATAATCATTAAGTGTTTCTCTCCTTAAAATAACAGTAACCTCAGCATCTCTCTGCTACCTTAAGTTTAGGTGAAAACATAATCAAACTCACTAAAATTTTCTATGGGCAAACCGAAGTAACTACACGATCTATGCAGTTTTCAGACCTGATGCTTATTTATTCTCCTTTCACCTTCAAATTGTATTTCACAATGTACTTTTCAAGTCCCCTAAGAACTTTATAAGGCTGGTGGTGGTGGGGGGGGGGGGATTTTCCTTGTTTT